TTACCTCTGCTTAAACTATAGCCCAAAATGGGACAAAGGAGAAAATATAAAACACTACCCAATAACACCTCAGCACTAACTTGTGATCACATCACAACGAGACACATTGGCAGATGTTATTTCCTGGCTACCTAGAGTAATCTTGGAACAAGAGAAGCAGCCTTTTTTTCCCCTTTAAACAAATCCAAATAAGAGTATTTTAATTACCATAATAGTGCGAATTTTGGTCCAGATGAAATTTGAAGGAATGAGGCAGTAAACTGGGTATGTGTGACTAGATAATAAGTTCCTTTTCTTTCTTTCTTTTTTTTATTTCTTTTACACAACAGAAAGGTAAAGAAAATATTTGCCCTTGATGACACTTGAGTGCTTTGACAGTAACATAACACTTCACATGCATCTCTATTTTATATATTGAAGAGAGACAGCACATCAGATACACAAACTATAAATCTAAACTGTAAATTCTTCCTGTCCAGATGAGATGTCTGTAACACTCACCCCAAAAAAATTCTATGAAGAAAAGTATTATTTCTGTACTCTTCTGTGCTCTTTGCTTATTAAAATGTAAAATTTGAGACATTTGATTGAGATGTTAGGTTCTTAACACACTGAATATCATTTGTTACAACAAAGTGAACTCCTTAAAAATTTTAACTCAAAGCCAACAGGTAAGGTTCAGCTGGAAGGGACTCTGACACTCACTCCCTGTATAACCTTAAGGAAATTTCTTATTTCTTGTGTTCCTCCACTGGGAGCATTAGAGTCAATTCATTAATGTGCACAAGTGTGATTTAAGATCAGTAGACAGAAAATCTTAAAGGAAAACCACTGTCATCATAGATTTACCTTTAATTATTGTAATAAAGTGAATACTATGCTATCTTTACAAAGTTAAAAAAAAGGTAAGGCAGGTAGAGTTAAACTATCCAATAACTAACACAGCAGGGAGATCTGTGACAGGAGATGGACAGTTTCACAACAACTAAAACTTTAGAGGCTTTCTGCAAAACTGCAGGTGAAAGCAATGACATGTTTAAAGGCTTCCTAATACTGTTTGTCTAGGAAAAAAAAAAAAAAAACAACACACACACAAAAACAACAACACCAAAAACAGAAGAGAAAGAAGGTAGCAATTACTATTGGGAAAACATAAAAGATGACTGGTGTGTGTATGCCAGGCATTGGGAAAAATTACTACTTTGTCTTTAGCAGAGAGATGACATTATCCCTGCAGCCAAACAGAAGCTACACTGTAAATGCAAAGTCCAGATATATTCAACAAGAAGAGGTGACAAATCCAACTGGATTAGAAACAGAGCCATTCACAAGCTAATTTGGACAAAGAAGTTTTGCTAACAGTCTAGGCTACATAAAGCAGTTTACCAGTCACTTAGAAGAGGTGGCAGTACCATCCCCATTTTGGAAGCTCTAGTAGGTTAGTGATGGGAACTACACAGGATGATGATGGGAAGCTGAGTGGTCACAAGCACAAGGGAGATAGTCTCAGTTGGCACTGGGCTTTTTGCATGTATTTAAATGGACGATACCCCTGTGCTGCCAAGTGGAGAGACTGTATTTTCCTATTTGGGAATAGATTCCAGGATTGGAATGATCTACAATGACCCAGTGGGCATATCCCAAATAAAATTTTGGCTTACTGGGTATGTGAGCTTTTCACATTTATGCCTGGATTTCTCTATATGATTCCTGGCTTGGAGGGAAAGACCTGAAGATTCAAAAAAAAAAAAAAAAAAAAAAAAAAAAAAAAAAAAAAAAAAAAAAAAAAAAAAAAAAAAAAAAAAAAAAAAAAAAAAAAAAAAAAAAAAAAAAAAAGGTAGCACAAAAGCCCAAGGGAAATAGGGCAAAACTGTAATGAGAAAAAGGAATAAATAAATGGGAAGTGGTATGTAAGCAGCACTTAAGTCTGTGTGAGGTTAATACCAACCACTTACTCCAAGCTAAATAAATGCTGCCTGGGGACTATGATTAGAGCAGGCAGCTCACGGGAAGCAGCAGCTTCTCAAAGCTGGAGCCAGGAGGAAGCTCTGGGAGCTCAGCAGTCTGGTGCACAATTTTTTAGCATTAGCCCCATCTGACCAAAGGTAACATGATGTTCACAATAAGGGTGAAAACTTTCCACGGCCCTACTATATCTATCTAATGTGGTGCCATCATGCTGCCAGCCTGTGCAGAGATGTCATGTCATTCTGTCATATTACCATCACAGAGTCTCAGAGCAAGTGGAGATGTCATAAACCCTGTCCAAACTGAACACTGTGTAGACAACATCTTGAAATGCCTCCTTCCCAGTTTACAGTCCCAGTTCAGAGACAAATAAGCAGACAAGCAGACACTCAAATGCAGATCAAAATCCTCTTTTAAATACTCTGCCTCTTGTAATACTTCTGCTTTTTCAGAAGCAGGTATTGGATAAAACTGCTCAGGCACAGCCTTCAGTCAGAAGTAGAAGCCAAATTATTAATTTACTTCTTCTGATTCTAATTACATTCTACCTCCAGGCATGTAATCAGGCTTTTATTCACCTTACTGCTTTATTCTCTAACAAGCAATTCATCTGAAGAGTTTTTCCTGCAGGATTTCCATGGTAAGGATCTTTTTTGTTGTTTTAGAGAAGGAATTCAATGCTTCAGTGCAACACTTTTGCTCATTAAAAATAATTTCTCAGTGAATTTAGTTGCAGTAGCTCTTCAGTCATATTAGAGACCCTGTTGCAGCATTAGATCCAGAGAACATGCTAAAGACCAGCAGGGAAAATGAAAGGGAAAGAAAACAAGAGGCTGGAAGGACAAGAGAGATTGCTGCAAATTATAAGCAAGCCCAGACATGCTGATGCCGACTGGGATCGGCAGCCAGCCCTTTGAAATGTGTTTGACCATAAAGTCAGACTGTACCCTCAGAGGAATTTCTCACCTACTCACAAATACAGTTCTCTATGTATTTTTTTCCGTGCCTCACTCTCTTCCCGGCTCCCTTCCCCCTTACACCATCCCTGGCTTTTTACCTTTACTACTACGTCTTCTGTGCTCACTGGAGATGCTTTGAAGCTTGCTTTCACAACATAGACTCATTCCAATCTTTAGGGAAATGTGCTACAGAGAGAGCCTGTAGTTTATATCAGCAAATTCGCTAACACAAGCACATCACTCCAGAGAGATGGCGTGTTCAGCTGCCAGTGAGTTTACTTCAGCTCCTTTGCTTTTGGAGCAGACAACTCCCTCCTCAGGAAGTTTTGTGTGTTTGTGTATGTGTTTTGTGGGGCAGCCTTGCAGCAACCGGCTCCGTTACACTATGTAATATAAATTGACAACTTTCAGTGTAGCTCCTGGTTTTCAGCTAAGTAAGAAAACTGGCACAGTCTGAAGATGATGAAAGATTATTTCAAGACACAAAGCATGTTAATCTCCCTTCTTCTGACTTAAGCACAGGCACCAGTCAATGATTATTTCTAATATACCACGTAAATAATGACTCACATTATTCAGTGAAGCATCAGCTTAGACAAATACAGAAAGTAGCAATGCACTACTTTTCATTCAGTGGGCCAATTTCACCTCCTAACTAAGTCAAAAGCCTTCCTGAAGCTCTTAATCAGTTGAATACAGCTTTGTTTTAATAAAATCAATGTTTTACCCTTAGTGTAAAAGCGCTAATCACTGCAGGCAATTCATGATTTTACAACATTATCTACTTTTCTTTAAGCAGCAGAACAAGGAGGAGTGTGGTAGCCTCCCGGACACAGAAAAAAATAATGTGACTCTTCAGCCTAAGGGAACATACTA